CCCCCCGCGCCAGCCGTGCTGCCTTGGGATGCGCCCTGACACCGGCCACCCTGGGGACATCTCTGGTGGGTGGCACGAGAGTGGGGGCAACGCACAACATGTGTCCCCCCCCTCCCCGGGCAGAGGGCTGGGAGCGGGGTGGCCGGGTGTTGTGCTTAAGGATCTCAGGATCGGCCTCCCACCATCCTCCGGGCTGTGTCGTTCGTCCCTCTTTTGCTGTGCCAGGAGGGATGGGAGCTCCTCGTTTGATGGGGACGGGGACAGGGATGGCTGTCCCTGGCACGGTGCTCCGCCACGCAAAAGGCTACGCAGGGTTTGAGCTCAGCCCCGGCCGTGCTGTCGGGATGGGGGGATTTCTCTTCTGCACTGAGATGGCTGCAAATAAAGTTGGCGGCTTCTCCCAGGAACCTCAGCCCCGCCACGCTCAGAGCTCTTCCACCGCGGTCGGGGATGGATCCTGGAGCCTTGGCGGGAGGAGAGGGGTCATGCGGAGCTCCCCAGCACCATGTCCCTCCCTTGTCCCCGGGTCCCTCCTGGGGCATCCTGCACCAGTGGGGGTTTGGGGGTGCCCGGCTCTCCCTACACTCATCCCCTGGCCAAAACGCTGCCCACCCTGGGATGCCACAGAGCAGCTGGGCAGGGACAGGGTGGGGTGTCCCCAGTTTCACTTGCTCCGGTTGCGTTGGGCATCTATAGCACCCGCTGCAGTGCATAGGAGGGAGTGGGCAGGATGCGTCCCATCCGCTTCACCAGCTCTCTGTCCGTGGGGTTTTTCCAGGGAGAGCAAAGCCAACAACCCACTCTGGAGCTGGAAATATCTGCGTTGGTGGGAAGGGGGTTGCCTGGTGTGGCATGGGCTGGGGTGTTCCCTCCTTGGGTCCCCTGGGAGTGAGTGCCCAGAGGATGCAGCAGATGGGGAACCCTATGGCAAGAAGCCCACTCGGGTTAACGTGGCACCATCTGATGCTGTGAGGCCTCGCTCCTGCCCATCCCCTTCCCTGGGCATCCTGATGGGCAGGACAGGTTGGTGGGATGGGGGCTCTGCCAGCCTTGGCGCTGACAGGACACGTCGTGGTCCCCTCCGCAGCGGGCAGCCGAGTGAGCCAGGAGCTGCGCTACACCAAGGAGAAGCTGGGCGAAGAGTCCGTCTACACCTCCCAAATGTTGATCCAGACCCCGAAGCGGGATGGGGAGAACATCCTGACGCAGGAGGCCCTGCAGCTCCACCTCGAGGCGGCCCTGGCCGCCAGCAAAGTCCAAGTCTCGCTGTACGGAAAGTGAGTCCGGCTCCGGACAGGGCGTGGGGGGGACGGGAACCCCCACCATGTCCTGCGTGTCCCCCACATCCCTTGCTGTGTCCCCCTGTGGGATGATGCCCATCCTCAGCTCCTCCTTCTGCTTTTCCAGATCGTGGGATTTGAACAAGATCTGCTACAAGTCGGGTGTCCCCATCATTGAGAACGGCATGATCGAGAGGGTGAGTGGCGGGCACGGCATGGCTCCCAGGGAACCCCCCACCACGGAGGATCGGTCCCCCAAGAAACGGGCAGCGGATGTGGGGGGGATGTGGAGCGTTGTGGGGATGGGGTTTGCGAGCCCCAGGTGCTGCCAAGGCACCGCCAGCTCCGTGCAGGAGGGTGCTGGTTTGGGCAGCCCAGCAGGGCTAAGCAGGGGGGGAGCCTGATCCATCCCTCCTGACCCCTCGCATCTCCTCCTCCCACAGATGATAGAGAAGCTGTTCCCCTGTGTGATCCTGACGCCGCTGGACTGCTTCTGGGAAGGCGCCAAGCTGCAGGGAGGCTCAGCCTACCTCCCGTGAGTTTGGGGGGCTGTCCGGGGGTGCAGGTGGGAGCAGGGGCTGGGGGATGCTGAGGGGCTGTGCTTCTCCTCCCAGTGCAGCCTGGCGCTGCTGCCCCAAGGTCCCTCAGTGCTGCTGTTTGTCCGGCTCAGCCCCAGGATGGTCCCACCATTGCTCGTCCTGTTGGGTCAACGCCCCGAGAGCAGGTCCCTGTCCTCGTCCGCTTAGCCTTGGTGGCATGGACAGGGCTGCACCTCTGCTGGGGGGGTGAGCTGCAGCCCACGGGCAGGAGCTGCCCATCCCTGCCACACCATGCCGGCGCAGCAGCCAGAGATGGGGAAACGGGGACAGATGCAGGGAGG